GACAGGGTTTCTCTGTGTAGCTTTGTGCCTTTCCTGGAACTCACTTGGTAGCCCAGGCTGGCCTCGAACTCACAAAGATCCACCTGCCTCTGCCTCCCGAGTGCTGGGATTAAAGGCGTGCGCCACCACCGCCCGGCCTCTACCCACTTTTAAATGAGAATAAAATGAGCATGATTTGTGAAGCTTGGGAGAAAAACAAAAAACAAAAAATCTTCCTGTATTAGGAGTGCTGTCTGTAGTATGCCTCAACTAGCCAGTTCAACCAAAACACAAAAATGTTGTGTTTCAATGACCCTGAAATCATCTTAAAGGAAGGTTCCTAGAAACACATCACTTTTGATTCTCTTATCTTTTATATACAGGCATGTTTTCTGTAGACCTAGAAGCACTCTACACAGGTTGTTTCTGCCTTTCTTTATTCCCCTAAAAAATTCTAATGGGAGCATATTTTCAGTCATGTATTCTTCTATAAGGGAGTTTTAAAACAATGTAATACATAATGTCAATGAATGATCACTTTCATTGTTATTTTTGAACACACATTAATTGTACAAATCAATGGGGTTCTTATGCATATATCATGCATTGATTATGTCCTTCCACCTTTCATCTCCCATCACTCACAACCCTCAACAATTTTCCCATTCCTTTGCAATGCAAATTGTGTGTGTGCATGTGTATATGTGTATACACACACTCACAGGGACTACAGAAGGTCCAGTCCCTTGATAGCCCTTTCCCAGAGTCCGGGAAGAATCTACGACCAGCTGATAATCTAATCTTTGATGATATTAAATGAATCTATGTACATGAAACTCTTTAGTTCATATGCTTTATTTTTCTGAGTCAGTTTTCTCTCTACACAGGTGTTTTTTGTTTTTTTTTTTTTTCCTGTTCTTATACTTAGCTCCTCTGTCCCTTCTCCGCCTGTCCTCTTGTAACTCTAATTTTATCTCCGTCCTCAGCTTCATCCTGGTTCTTCCCCATCTTGGTTCCTTCCCCTTCCTCTTCTGGAACCAGTCTCCCCCTACCAGCAGCCTGACTCTTACTTATCCAAAGCAAAACTTCCAAGGTCCCCACAAGAGCCAGCTTCATTTGCAACCCAAAAAGGGGAGTGAATAGAGGAGGTGGGTCAGGTAAGGCTTGGAAAAGTCAGAAAGGGAATTTATGTGCTCAAAAAATATTCTTATAAGTGGTTATGTGAAACGTTACAAGTCTACCACAAATGTGCTCAAAGTACAATCTTATAGGCGGTTAGGTAAAAGAGTCTATAAGTCACTAAAATAAAACTGCCTTTATTTCCCTATGCCGCCTTTACTGGCATATATGTGGGGTAACTGTTCGGAGCTGGGAAGTCTGCCTCATAGCTACGTTGCACCTGGCATGCAAAAAACCCTTTTGTTCTGAGTCAATTGTTCTGGGATGCCATTTGGGCTGTGAGAGAAAGGAGGGTCTGAGGGTCTGAGCTCATTTGCACAAGAAACAAAGCTATGCCTAGGATGCCAGGGAAGAATTGCAGGTAAATGTGCTGCTAGGAGTTCTTGGAAGCATACACAGCATACAAGAAAATCCTTGCAGGAACCGGCTAATATATACACAAAAGCTAAAATATCACCAAGACTCCTTAAGCCATGGCTTGACCTTCAGAAAAGTCCTTGACCTTTCCAAGTAGTAGCTTTTGTCATGGTAGCTGAATTCCATTATATTTCCCTGTAGCTTGCAGCAACACACCTTTCTTGGCTTCCACGTATGAGAAAGGACATGCAAGTACATCTAATGTCTGGCTTATTTCACTTAGCATGATGCTGTAGCTCCAAGTGTTTTGCTGCAGATGACAGGATTTTATTCTTCTTTATGTGTGAATAATATTCTGTTTCATGTATATACCATACTTTATTTATCTGTAGGTCTACTGATAAGTACCTAATCTAATACCACATTTTAACTATTGTGACTAATTCTTCAGTAAGCATAGACATGCAGATTTAGATATATACCCAAGTGTGATGACTGGATCCTGTGAGACTGCCATTTTTAGTTTTAGGGTTTTGTTGTTGTTGTTGTTGTTGTTTTGAACTTTCAGCTGTTTTCCATAATAGATCTTTTTGTTTGTTTGTTTGTTTGTATTTTTGAGACAGGAGCTTATGTTAAGCTGGTTACCACAAAGAAAAGTCACAAGTCATGACAAAACCCAGTATCAGAGCTTTATTAGGAGGAGTAGGGGCAGAAGAACCAGGCCTAGGGGAGACACACATATAGCGAGCCAAGAGAGTGAGAGAGAAAGAGAGAGAGTGGGGGGAAGAGAGAACAGAGAAGGGAGGGGGAGGAGTCTGTGTCCAGCTTTTTGAGGGTTCCCATGAACATGTGCAGGCAGGCTTACAGAGCTACATCATGCATGTGCTGATTGTGTGACCATGCCACATGCACGTAATCACCAGCACACACTGATGACTTAAGATACATACTGCTTGCTTAGCTCCTGAACTGCGCATGTGTGGTCACACAGCTGGAGTGGCAGCAGAATCCTAACAGCTTACTATGTAGTTCTGGCTGTCCTGGAACTCACTCTGTAGACCAGGCTGGCCTTGAACTCACAGAGATCTGTCTGCCTCTGTCTCCCAAGTGCTGGGATTAAAGGGATATCACTCTTCAAATACAGCTTATACTTTTACATGCTGGCTGGCTAATTTTCTTTCTTCCACTTCTAGATATAAAACTCCATTAAACATCTTTTGTTAGGCTGATCTGGTAGCCATAAGGTCCCTTAGTTCTTGGTTTTTTTTTTTCTTTTAATTATGATATTTTCCTTTATTTATATTCATGTGTTTATGCATGTGTGTACACATATGTGGAAGTCAAAGGACAACTTTTAGGAGCTGGTTCTCTCCCTTCCACCATAAGAGTCCTGGGGATCGAACTCAAGGTGACATGCTTGGCAGCAAGTGCTTTTTCCGGCAGAACCATCTTGCCAGCCCAGAATACCTTTAGTTTTTGACTAAAGTAGAAGGTCTTCATTTTGCCGTTGATTATGAAGGATTGTCTTCTTGGGCATGGTTGTCTGTATGGGCAGTAATTTTCTTCTAGGAGTTAAAGTACGCCATCCTGTGCTCCCCTAGCCTATAAGTTTCTGCTGTGAGTCTGATATCATTGTCTTTAACTATGATTCGGTGCTTTTCTTTTGGAGAGTTTAAAATTCTATTTTTGTACTCATTTTTTTTTTTTCTGCCAGACTTACTATGTTGGGGTGAGAATCTTTTCTGGCTGTATCTCTCTGGGCCTCTATAGGTAGGCATCCTGTTGTGGGATGTTCATGCTTTCCCCAAGGTGAAGGAAGCTGTCTGCTTTTGTTTTTTTGATAAGTTTTTATATCTTTAACCTTTATTTTTACTTCCTATCAATCAGTGATGTAGATATTTGATCTTTTAATCCCAAAGATTGTGTAGTCTCTCTTCATTTTCTTTTTTTCCTTGTTTTTGTTTGAATATGATATTTTAAGAGAAACTTTACTCAATCTTTGATATTCTTTCTTCTACTTGGTGTAGTCTGTTGGTAAATTTCCAACCATATTTTAATTTAACTTATTGACTCTTCATTTTCAGAATTTTTGATGACCATTTTTCAAAATTATTATTCACAACAGTTAAAATGACTCAACATCTCATTGGTGAATGAATAGATAAACAAAATGTTGTCTATACATGAACCAAATGTTTATACCTTCAACAGGAATGAAATTGTAATGTGTAGCACAATGTAGATGAGTCTTAGATAAATATCATATAACCCTACTATATGAGGTACCTAAAATAGACAATTCATACAGACAGAGAGTACAATAACAATTACCAGTGGCTCAGGGGAGGAAGGTGAAGTAATCGTTTGATAGGTAAAGAACTTTAAAGATGGAGAGGATGAGAAAGATTGAGTATGGATGTTATGGCCACATACCATTGTGGTTCTTGTTTATTTGTTTTTGTTGGGGAAGTTGTTTATTTGTTTTGTTTTTATGTCCCTGAGTTATACACTTATGAATGTTTAAAAAGCTAAATATTGTCATATATATTTTATCACAATAAAAAATCTATCTTTCGGTATAAAATAGCTTTTCACATCATAGTGTCTGGTAAAAGAGACCATATCTGAGATGGGCTGGTTGCTTTTGATTTGCAGGCTGCTGGCTCTCAAGTTGGGACAATGGTCAATTCCTTCACTAACATCATTGTGGCCGTGATCATTGCCTTCCTCTTTAGCTGGAAGCTCAGTCTGGTCATATCATGCTTCTTCCCCTTCTTGGCTTTATCAGGAGCCTTGCAAACGAAAATGTTGACAGGATTTGCATCTCAAGACAAGCAAGCTCTGGAGAAGGCTGGCCAGGTAATCTTATGGACTTAATTTTCCTACTTATGGCTGAGTGGTTGTCAAGTAAACCATGTGAAATAATAAGTACAAAGAGACACATGTGCCTCTGCCTGAAAGCTATGACAACAAGGCCTGACACATGAGTTTGATCAGAAAAGGAGAAAGTGTGGTAAGCATAGAAACTTAGATGTTTGATTTCTTCTTAGTTATTTGTCCTACATTTTCTGTATTCTCACTTGTAGAGGTGGACAGTTCTATTAGAGTTGTTGTTGTTGTTTTCTTAGCTTAATAATTACCCTGTAGATGAAGTTTTTCTGTGTCCTGCCTAGTCCTGCAGCTGCTCAGACCCAAGTAAACACACAGAGGCTTAAATTAGTTAAAACTGCTTGGCCATTAGCTTAGGCTTACTACTGACTAGCTCTTACACTTAAACTCAGCCCATTTCTGTTAATCTATATGTCACCACATTTTCCGTGGGTTTACCTATGTGCCATTACATGCTGCTCCTTGGATGGCAGGTTGGCATCTCCTGGCTCAGTCTTCCTCTTCCCAGAATTCTCCTTGTCCGTTTATCCCACCTATACTTCTTGCCTGACTACTGGCCAATCAGTGTTTTATTAAACCAGTATACAAAAGCATCATCCCATAGCATTACCCTGAGTCTTGCAATCCACACAGAAGACATATACTTTCAACTTTAGCATTTGCTAGACTAGTGGCAAATGTCTTTCTCAAATACAATCATGAGCTACAGAGTAGAATTCAAGTACATTCTGGTTTTAGGTATTCGAATTATTCTAATTAATATCTGAATGCAAGGAATAAATGAAAGGACGATGGCATAAGCATTTGTCAATTGAAAAAAAAAAAAAACCACACATGCTGGGCATGGTAACACAGCCTGCAATGATTCCAGAACTTAGGAGTGGAGACAAAAGGATCAGAAGTTCAAGGCTATCCTCAGCTACACAGGAAGTTAGAGTTCAGCCTGGTTACTGGAGACGCTATCTCAAACAACAATAACACACTGGAAAGGAAGAAGGGAAGGAAGGAGGGAGATAGGGACTGAGGGATTAATCAGTCACAGATAACATGCATTCCTTTTGTTTTTTCTTTCTGATACTAGAGCCTGAGCATGGGGACTAGAGCTTACTATGCAAAGTAAGCACTTTAGAACGGAGCTATACCCCAATCCTTTTATTTACTATCTTTTTAATCTTTAATTTTTATACCTATCATCTATCTATCTATCTATCTATCTATCTATCTATCTATCTATCTATCTATAATATATACATATCTATAATATATACATATCATATATCTATAATGTATGTAGACATATTATTTTGAGACAGTGTCTTGTCAGGTTGCCAAGATGGCCTTGAATTCACACTGGAGACCAAGCAGGTCTTGAACTTAGGATCCTCCTACCTTAGCCTCCAAGCGTTGGTGTTCTGGGCTTTTACTACCAGGCCTGAGCCACACACTCATGCTTCGAAAACTCACTCTCTGTCTTTTGAAACAGAGAATACGATGCTGTCCAAGGAGACAAAAGCATTTAGATGCCAGTGTAGAAAACAGCATCTCCAGTGAGGGAGACCCCAGTTCATTAACAGTGGCCCTTAAACTGCATTTGACCACATGCTCACATGTAGACAGCAGAGTAACTCATATTTAACTTCAGTAATATTCAGTTAGCTGTTTTTAGAGAGTATGGTTTGCTCGACAGTCACTTTTTAGAAAGTAGTCTCTAGTAACTTAGGTTTGTATTAAGTGGATGTTTTGTTCCAGAAGACATTCAAAGACACGGTTTTAGACATTTCAGATGAATCAGCAGAGAAAATTTAAAGCTTGTCCAGCACGAGCATCAGAGACCTTGTAAGTGGAGGCAATAAAGTCACGCTAGAACTAGGCAGAGACTGGGTATAAGTGACAGATGAGCCCGTGGTCCAGTTGAGTTGACCCCCAGTAACTTCTCTGAGAGACTTTCTGCCATCTGTGACAAATCTAATCTGGGCAACAACTGAAATGTCGTGAAAAGAGGTGTTCCTTCTTGGTGATTCCTTGGACTCTTTGCTTTTCAGATCACCAGTGAAGCCCTCAGCAGTATCCGCACTGTGGCGGGCATTGGCGTGGAGAGGAGGTTTATCAAAGCGTTTGAAGCTGAGCTGGAAAAGTCATACAAAACAGCTGTCAGGAAGGCGAACATCTATGGCCTCTGCTTTGCCTTTTCGCAGGCCATATCATTTTTTGCAAGTTCCTCTGGCTATAGATATGGAAGTTACTTAATTGCCGAGGAAGGGCTGCATTTCAGCTTTGTTTTCAGGTGAGGCCTTATGAGAGTGACACTCCAGGGAGACTTGCCTGGATCTGTCACTTAACTTCCTTGCTGCCCAGCAAACCATTCCCTGAAAGCAGCTGGGTTTGTTCTCTTTCAAAGTTCCACGGGGTGTGAGCTAGCTCTTCTGGACTTGGCTGCCTCACAGACTTCTGTGTGTCTGTCTGACTCCAGGAAGCTTTGGTAGCAATCGAGCTTATTTCCTTTATGAATTATCTTGGAGGTTCCTATTCAACAGAAAAAGCATGTCCTACACTGTGAGCATGTCCAAGTCTCTCCATATTTCCTCTACTGAGGTCTCTTTGGCAAAAACAAACAAACAAACAAACATCTCATGCAATGAAGCCTAGGTTTAAGGATTTGAGAAATGAAATCCATTTGAACTGGAGGAATGAAAAAAAAAGATGACCATAAGCAGATGAATCATAAGATGAACTGTTGTAATTATATTTCTACTTGTCAGAGCTGACTGTCGAGGCCTAGAACAGGATGGGTCCCAGGGCTGTTGTATTTGAACTCTGCTCCTCCATTGCAAAGACAACTGATTTCTAGCCTCTTCCTCTGAATGGAGACAGGGTAGGCTAGAGGAGGGTGTCTTTGTTCTTCCAGTCAGGGTCTGCTTACTTCCAGAGCGGAGGGCCTGAGCACACGAGAGTTTGATAGTGGAGGGTAGTGAGGGCAGAGACAATCTAGTTTGCAGGGCATGGAGGCATGATCCTCTCACCTGATATCATTCTTCCAGTACTTCCCTGCTAGCCCACTATACCCACATCAACTAGGAAAGTCTCTTCTCTCAACCCTTGCGAATTTAAAGTTACCAGCCCAGACCAGGGAACAGCAACTCTTGAGTTCTTTCTGTCCGTTTGTATGAGCATGTAACAAGTTATTGGCCAGCATGTGAGAACCAAGAGCCTATAGAAAAATTCCAATTTTTGGTTTTGTTTTAAGAACCAGAACGTCATCTTTCATCATTTCCTACCTTATTCCCAAAGCTTTCGTTCTTGGAAGCCTTGTCCTGGGCTCCTGGAGAACACGGGTTTCCGACCCTGACCTGGAAACAATCACTGATTATAAGCCGAGCAGTAAGAAAGATGCTTGCACATCCCCCACCTATCATCTCACCCACGAAGACCCCTGTGAAAGATAGCACTGATGGGCAGCCTCACGGGCTCCTGTGCGCAACAAGGACCGGCATGCACAGCACCACGGTTGTCTCGCATAATGAAGTTATTCCTTTGTTCATTCATTCCTGAAGTCCGTGTTGATCTAGTTAGCGGCTGGGACAAACAGAAGGATACAGGCAACTGCATTTTCCTTACCCCGTCTGACGCCCGCCTTCTATGGGTGCTCGGCATAGAATAGGTACTTTCATTGCCTGCCATTGTCACTATCTTTTACACACCTGTCTGTGACTCCTGGAATGTAAAATGGGAAGAAAAGCCAACTTAATCTGGACATCTTTCAAATTCCTCTATGATAATTGTTTTCAAAAGCCTCCTCCACTCCACTCCCCCCCACCACACCCCCACCAAAAAAAAAAAAGTTTTTAATGTGGTAGATCTAGGATTTGGAGGTCTGAGCCCTACCCCATTCGGTCTACCCCTTGACCCTTTTACAGAGAGCACAATTTAAAAACTACTGATGTTTCTAACTCCCACAAGACCAGGCATGCCCAAAATGACTTGCTTAAGCTGCCTGGGGATAGCACCCAATACTTTTGCCTCTTAGGCCTTCATACTACCCACACCCCACCTCTCACTCTCTGGGTGTTTGATTGCAGGACGATCTCTTCAGTTATGATGAGTGCAACAGCTGTTGGAAGAACCTTCTCTTATACCCCAAGTTTTGCCAAAGCTAAAATATCAGCTGCACGCTTTTTTCAGCTGCTAGACCGAAAGCCTCCAATTAGTGTATACAGTGGAGCAGGTGAAAAGTGGGTAAGTACTGGGCTGGAAGAGGTGAGTGGATGTGTGTGCGTGTGTTTGTGTGTGCGCGCATGCGTACATGTGTTCATGAGTGTGCATGTGTTTGTATACAAAAAAAGCCATTGAAGATGGTCAGATGATGTCACTTTAGATTCTAAATTTTAGCAGCCTGTGTTCATCCATATGCACCCAGAATGGACAAACAATGGATTTATAAAGGTAAAGGGAGGAAATAATTGACATGAAAAATCAGGTATTGCATTGACATTTGGATAATACAACACGTAATTCTATCAGTTCGTTTTCCATTACCACAACTCAAGGATGTGTAATGTATACAGAAGAAGTTTGCTGGGCATGTTGGTATACCCCTGAGCTCAGAAGGCTGAGGCAGGATGATTGCAAGTTTGAGGCCAACCTGACTTTCATAGCAGAAAAGAGGTTTATTTAGTGCACAGTTTGGAGGCTGAAAGTATACGATCTGGTGGTTCCATCATTCAGTCCTTTAGAACCTCAGAACTACAATATACCATAGTGAGTGGTGTCCCTGCCCATTTAAAAAAAATCCATATGTTCAAGAGAGTAAAACACCAGTAAAGCTAAGCTAAATTATGAAATTTTTGGTCAAGTGAGTTATTTTTCCTTTAGTTTGATAGAATTATTTTCTGCAAATGTTTACCCATTTCTAGAGTTCATAATTCAGATAGTGTTTTAAATTAATGTTTTATGTTATCATATACAATAATAGGGTTTGTCACGGTATTTACATAATTCAAGTTGATTCCCTTCAAGTTGGTTCCCTTCCTCTACCCAAACTGCTCCTCCTTCTGCTTTCTGGTTACACGTGTGATATTGCTCTCTCCCCACACTCTGCCTTCAGAGCTCTTCCTCCATTCTCCTTTGTAGTTTCATGAGCTACACACAGATACATATAAGTACACACCCACATATACATACATATATGATTTTATTTGTTTTTAATTATGTGTATAAATGTGTATTTGTATGTGGGTTTGTGCATATGAGTGCAGTACCTACAGAGTCCAGAAGAGGGTGGTGGATCTCCTGAAGCTGGAGTTACAAGCAGTGAGGTACCCAACATGAGTGCTGGAATCAAATTCAGGTCGTCTGGAAGAGTAGTCATGCTCTTATACTCTGAGCCATCTCTCTGGCCCCCATAAATTTGGGTTTTGCAAAAAACCCCACAGTGTTACTCTCTCTGAATCTGACTTATTTTGTTCAATGAAATGATTTATAGTTCCCTCTACTTTCCTGAGAATGTCATGATTTCATTTTTCAGGGCTATGTAAAATTCCATTATGTATATACTCTAAATGAAGTTATTTGTTGATGGATCTCTAGGCTGGCAAAGTAATCCAAGAACTGAAAAATAGAATTACATGAAATTGAAAAGCTTCTGCATGAAAGGAAAGAATCCCAGATGAAGGAACTACAGAGTGGGCAGAAAAAATTTCCCAAGTATACAGCAAATAAAGGATTAATATGTAGGATCTAAAAAGAACTATAAAAATTAAACTCCCAAACCAAATTATCCAAACAATAAATGGGCTAAAGAGCTGAATTAACAGTCCCCAAAAGAAGAAATACAAATGGCAAAACATACTTGAAAAAATATTTGACATCCTTAGCCACTAGAGAAATGCAAATTAAAGCTGCTTTGAAAGACCATATAACCCCAGTCAGAATGACCATCGTCAAGAAAACAAATGATACCAAATGCTGTCGAGGTTGTAGGGAAAGAGGAGCCCTTCTCCACTGCTGATAAGAATGTGAACTTGTGCAGCCACTATGGAAATCAGCATGGAAAACTGAATAGACTGTAGCAGGCTTTTTTTTTTTTTTTTGACTGCCATCCGCCAAATCACAACACAGAGACTTATTATTAATTATGAAAGCTCAGCCTATAGCTTAGGCTTGTTTCTAACTAGCTCTTACAACTTGAATTAACCCATTTCTATTCATCTAAGTGCTGTTATGAGGCTCGTGGCTTTTACCTCTCCTCCTGCATGTCTTGCTTCCTTTGTATCAGGCTGGAGACTCCACCTTTCTTCTTCCCTGAGACCTCTCTGTCCCCAGAAGTCCCGCCTAACCTCTTCCAGCCTAGCTACTGGCCATTCAGCTCTTCATTAAACCAATTAAATCACAGTGACACATCTTCACACAATGTAAAGGAATATTCCGCAACAATAGACCTGCCATATGACTCAGCTATACCATTCTAGGATATATACTTGAAGTCAACATACTACAGAGACACTTTCACATGTGTGTTAATGTGGCACTATTCACAATAGCTAGGAAATGGAACCGACTTAGTTTTCCACCAGACAGTTTGAAACACACTAAAATATTCATCTCTGTGGCACAGACTCCAAAGAACTTTGTTTTTAATTCATTATTTTAAAGAACAGGGTTATTAACAGTTCAAAGAATTGCTGGCTTCCTTGATGCATTAACTTTGCTATTCTCTTCCTCTTTTTACTATAAAGGAATAGGTGATAAGGAACTGCCCTTAGTTCAGAATGAGGTTAAGAGGTCAATTGCCTTTAATGTCCTAGTCTCTTTTTATGCTGAACCTGCCAGCATTGGGAAGAAAATGTCATTTTGTAGTGGTGTTCACTTGGTTGCTTGTTTTGAAGCAGAATGTAGCCTATGTAGCCCAGGCTAGTCTCCAGCAAACTCACTATCTTCCTCCCTCAACTTTCTGAGTTCTGGGGTTACCGTTGTGTACCACTATCCTGACTAGAATGTCACCCACTGAGTTGCTGTTTCATAATGCATAGTTTCACACCGTTGTGTACACCGAGGAATCTTACATATTCCAGGCTCCAGCAGCAGTACATGTAATTCCAGTCCTCTCATTCACAGGGCAACTTCCAAGGGAAGATCGACTTTATTGACTGCAAATTTACATACCCTTCTCGACCTGATATCCAAGTTCTGAATGGTCTCTCTGTGTCTGTGGATCCAGGACAGACCCTGGCTTTTGTTGGAAGCAGTGGGTGTGGCAAAAGCACCAGCATTCAGCTGTTGGAACGGTTCTATGACCCTGATCAGGGAAAGGTGGTAAGTGGTGCAAACGCTTTGGGGGATTTCGCTTTCTGTGTAAGATCTGCCTGCCCCCAAGCGGTCTCCGAGGCTGTGCCTTGCCAGGTTAAACTGTTTGTCTTGGACACCCCCCCCCCCCGTAGATGTTTTCATTTCCATCATTTGCTGGTTGACCTGACTCTGCCCCACAGCTTCTAACATCAGACAGACTCTTCCCAGTTCCAGATGGCCTGCTGACCAGTTAGGAAAGAAAACTGGACACACTGCAAAGCTAGAGATGAGTGTATTTGAAAGACATTTACTTACCTGTAAATGGAGCAGAAAGTGCAGACTAATCAAGAAACTAATAGCTGGGGATGGAAAAAGCGCACTCGGGGAGTGGGGGGGGG